ATTGGTCTCCTCCTCCTGCTGGCCTTACCTGACTAAATTTTGACGAGTGTTTCCTCGGGAACCCTGGTCCTTCCAGAACAGGAGGGGGCTTCAGAGATCACCAAGGTAACATCCTGGCCTCCTTCTCCAATCATATTGGCCATGCTGACTCACAGCTGAGCGAGTCCTTGGCTCTTCTCTTGGGGCTCAAATTGCTTAACCCTGGCTGGGGTCTCCCCCTCTTAGTAGAAGGAGATGCCAGAAACTCATTTCTTGGGCTGCTGGTGTGTCGCCACCCCCTTGGTACCTTGCTTCGATCTTCGACGAGATTTCTCACATCTGTAGGGACATTCCTGTCTCTTGGAGGCATACTTGGAGGGAATTCAACACCCTCGCAGACCAATTGGCTAGAAAGGGAGCACTCGCACAGGTGGTGGAACACTGACGCATGGCTCAGAGCTTCTGTACTTCTCGGCCTCATTTTTGTTCCACAGGGATGGTTGTTAGTCCCCTAGCTAGGACCTGTCCATTCTCTGGCTCTCTTTTTTACATCTCTGTAATGGGCATCTCATATGCGCCTCGATCATTTTTGGTATAGGGTTACGGGTTACTCTCCTAAGGCTAACCAATTTTTTTCTGTGAGGCCGGGGCTGTGGGCCTCCAGGCCTTAATCCTGTATTCCTCTTTCTATTAATACAGTTAACAGTTTAAAAAAAAAAAAGTTATAAAGGAGATGCATGGAGGAGAAGGGGGACTCTTCACGTGATTTCAAAATAAGAAAAAGAAGGAAGCTTTTAGCTTTGAAGGCCTAGTTAGGGTTTGAAGAAGAAATCTGGGATTTCTTCAAGTTGCGCTTGTGCTTGCTTGGAATATGTTTAACTTTCTGTTTTCGTCATCAAATTCCAGATAGCGATTGTATTAAAATAAGAATACCTCATTAGATGGGCATGGAGGAAGGTTCTTGGCACTTGGTGAACATTTTTGAGGAAGTATTTGAGGTATGTTAGGATAGATGAATTATGAATACTTTGCAGATGCTCGGCAAATAGTGGTGTAAATTGATATTATGTTTCTTTGGTGGGAGTTGCTCATGCACCACCTCGGCAAATGTTTTAACTAAACGTTACCCGCAAAAAGAAAAAAGAGAATATCTCTCATTGCTGATAGGAAGATAATATGAGCTATAAGTATAGAAATATGCCAACTGCTAGGAGTTCAGGAAGGATTTGTTCGTGTGGACAACATAGTGAAATTTCCGACATTTTACAATCTGCTTGAGCTCTATTAGCTTTTTCAGTCTGAGGCTTTTCTATATAAGGAGCTGCTGACCCAACTGAAGATCAACACGTATTTGATCATTACATCTTGATTATTTGGACATCAAACAAACCCGATTGGAGATCACTTAACAACCTTATCCCCATAAAACACAGCTCTTAGGGTGTCTGAAGAGCTATAACCTTATCCCCATAAAACACAGCTCTTAGGGTGTCTGAAGAGCTATAACCTTATCCCCATAAAACACAGCCCTTAGGGTGTCTGAAGAGCTATTCCAAAGAAGAAAATCATATCATATGGATACCAGATCTTGGTTGTAACTTTTGACGAGGCATTGTGCATTGTAGTCTTTCTTTGTGAATTTTCCACTGCCTTCAGGGTAGTTGCATGGTGAGGTGGATTTCCATTGTCTTCAAAGTGTGTACATGTCAGGGTAATCTATGAGAATTTGAGCTATAGGATATAAGGTGCAAGGTGGGCTAGGACTGGCTATGGGCCTGAGATCAATGTTCTAGTTGATGATTAGTTCATATAACTAGATTCTATGATGGTTTTAATTAAGGGGCGTGTTTTCTATAAGGCTGCAACCTTAAGCAATCCAATTAAGATGCACCTTTGAGTTTTATTATAACATATAATTTTGGTGTAAACAATTCTTAGGATTATCTAAAATTCTATTTTTTTATAGTTATAAAATTTTAAACTCCAAAAATGGTTAAAATCAAGTAGATCTATAGACGTACGAAATCTTGAAAATGGATGGTCAAGATAATGTGTTGCATGATGCACTATTTATGGGACTCAAAATCTGTTTTTTTCCATATTCATACATCTCGATGTCGTGATGATCAATTAAAGGGTTTTCAACATTAAAATAACCTTTTCCAATGGATTTTTGGGGCACATCTTTGATTCTACATTTTAAGGTTGCAACCTTATATAAACTTTTTCCTTTAATTTAAGAAAAAAAAAAAAAAAGAATAGAAAAAACAAGATCCTCTAAGGTGTAAGGCTCATGTTTTCTTATGGATATTGTTGAGATCATGGGTTTCTTTGGGTATATATGGGTTCTTGTTTGTGCAACGTCGTCCTAGAATGACACCGGTGAGGAAGGGTGATTTGGTTCACGTGTAAGGCTATAAAAAGGCAAGGGGAAGGCCCAAAAGGATATGGATGGAAGTAGTGAGAAAAGATATGGTGACTTATGGCTTGACTGGGGAGATGACTCTTGATAGAGCAAAATGATGGAACATGATTCGTGTAGCCGACCCCACATGGTTGGGCTAACCGGATAAGGCTTGGATGGTGATGATAATGATAGGGGTTCGTGTTGCTAACATTTCTGTCACAGAATGAGATAACATGTGAAATGTGAAATGAAAGCTTTATGACTTCCCCCATGATTTCCCCCTTTCCTACTGAAATATGGAAGTCTTGAAACGCTCCCAAGCTGCACACCAATGATAGGTACTAGAAAGGATATGAACATTCAGTGGCCTAGTGACTCTTAGTTAATATCAATTGAAGTATTCGGAGGAACATTGTGCTAATCAGTGGTGCCTTGGAGCTTGTAACAATTGTCTAAGTAGGGGTGGAAGATCTCATTCATAATGCTACAAAAGGTGGCAGGGGCATTTGTTAAGCCAAAAGGCATTACTAGGAACTCAAAAGCTCCGTACCTCGTTACACAAGTCGTCTTGTGCTCATCCCCTTCCACGATCCGCACTGGGCAACTTTGGGGTATGTCTTTCTAAATACTTGTAGCTGGTAGTAGGTCGGGGTCCACCTAGTTGGACCCAGACTGTGTCGAGTCAAAGTCATTGGACCCGGACCGAGACTCAGACCCAAACCCGGATTGGGTCGGCTCGGGGTCTAGATTAAAGAAGAATAAATTTTATTTGTTATATTTTATAGAATATAAATGTAAATAGGCACATATGTTAATATAAAAATATTTCATATACATATACATATACATATACATATACATATATGTTAATATAAACATGTGTCGGATTAGGTCAGTTTGACCTTGACTCAGACCCGACCCACCCCGACTTGATAAGATCCAGGATGGACCCATCCCCAAACTCTGCACAGGTCGGGGTCACCGACCCACTAGGTCCAATATTTGGTTCCAGATCTGAACCCGTGTCGGGTAGGCGGGTTAAACCGACCCAATTGCCACCCCTAGCTGGCAGAATATTACAGATAGCTACACTTCTGAAAGGCAAGATTGTGACCCTACAGCTAAGCATTATTTTTCAGTCAAGGTAGAAGTCTGCTTCTTATTCTTAGTATGTTTATGTCAGAAACCCATACCATGGGATTCTTGGGTGGTTATTCATAGAAATCATGCATTTTTAGTTAAATAAGCAATAAAGATAGATAGTCAAGGGACAAAATGCCGTTTCTTCATGAAGTCCTATTACTGGCTTGACGGTTTGAAACCTGTATGGGCTCATTTCAGGCATCGGACATATAATCAGTAACGGACGAGCCCTAAGTCAATTAACTACATATAAGATAGAAAATGATAGTGGCTTACCTCAATGTGGTTTGGAAGGATATTGATTGAAAGGAAGGAGGCTAAAACGTGCCCGGGTACTATCTACCAGCCTCTGTGCCGAGAGGGTCTGCAGTAATTGTAAAGGTAGAAGGAGAGAATGGTTGCTGGACATGGCGTTCCAACTCACTCTATATGTCTTCCAAAACCTCTCTTTCCCTATTGTTAGAGAACCAAGAATAAGTGTCTCCAAAGATAGATTTGATAATCTTAAAAATAAAACAAGCTCACAAAATTACCATGGTTTCATGAACTTCTGTAGATACAGTTAGTGACAAACTGCATGAGAGACCACCCTTGTGTTTGATTTGTGGGGACTGGAGAAATAAAGGCCTAGATGTATTTGGACCTAGAGCAATTCCAAAGGCATATATCCACTATCTTTTATTTTGTCAGAAAGAAACTTAGTGCATGAGTTCCTGAAAACTTGCATTGCCCTTTGGATGTTTGTGACACAGAGGTAACAAGAATTTTCTAAAAACTCAAAAGAGGAAATGAGAAGCTTTGTAGTGTAAATGTTATGCTCAAATTATATTGATGCATTAACCTAAGATTGATTGTAGAGTTTATGTCCCCTTTGATTCCCTCCCAATCAACTTGACCTACAATACTAGGATACATTTTTTTTTGTAAGTTACATGATCATTTGACTTACGCCCTCCTATTCATGGATTCTTTGACTCCTTATAACCTCTGGCAGAGGTAATGATCCATTTATGACTTTATAGAAATTCCCGCCCCTCACAAGGGCTCATATTTTAATCAGGGTTCTCTCATCACTTATAGTGCAAGCCAACAGAATGCAAGCCAACACTGAGATGCTCCTTAATGTTATAGACCTCTGTTTCCAATAAAGTACAAAATAATTCTTAGAATAATCAATACTATTAAAGCAGTTAGAAAAGATACTATGATCACAGGCAGTTTGAAATCATTTGATGTTTATGTAAATGTGGTCTCCGTCACTTGGAAAAGTTATTATTCATCTCAGGATATGCGAATACTTGATCTGGTTTTATATTTATGGTTTTCTTGAAAAGCAAGGGCCTAAGACCTCATAATTCAAATATATTCTGGCAAGATCACTTTTCCCCTGCCGCAATCCTATGCTTGTAACTTGCATCTTCCATGAGAAGTTCGCTTGCACAAATTCTTATATGGGTAGCTAACCTTTCAGGTGTGATCATCCAGCTGAAAATTGGTTATGCCTCAGTTGTAACAACATTTTCTGCAGTCGCTTCATTAATGGCCACATGCTTGAGCATTATCAAGAAGCTGGTCATTGTCTTGCTCTCAGCTATAGGTATTTAAACCCTTGTTAATTTGCTTTTCACTTGGACATTCAGTTTTCTTGTATTTTTCTGGATATCTTAAAGAAACACTTCCAAATAGAATTCTCTCTCTCTCTCTCTCTCTCTCTCTCTCTCACTACTTCACTTAGATACTTGTCGGCTTTGTCTCGTTTTTCTCTGGCAGTGATCTATCAGTTTGGTGTTTCTTGTGCGACGCTTATCTAGATGCACAAGTGATTTTACAACTCCGACCTGTCTATGAAACTGCTCACCTACTGAAGTTTGGAGAAAGCCCCCCCTTTCTGAGTATGGAACTAGGTTAAGATCTTCACCCGGTCAACTTTTAGAGGCATTTTGATAAAATATCATTTCGACATTGTTCTATAATCTAGATTATAGCTCTTAGAACAGCATTAATTTATATATCCATCATATGAACATATGGTCTATGGACTATTAAGCTCTCTCAAGAATTCCAATTATTTAAAAAACAATCATATGAACATATGGTCTATGGACTATTAAGCTCTATCAAGAATTCCAATTATTTAAAAAAAAGAAAGAAAAAAAAAACACCTCCATTCAATCACCTTTTTATAACTCTCCTCTGAATCTACCTCTAATAGTTGATGTGGCCTAAAGAGCACAGAATGGTAGTTCCTATTCTTCCTTTTGTCTCGCTCATTTCTTGGTTCTCTTCGATACTCTTAGAATCTCTCTTAACTCTCATCTCCCCCTTACCCCCCTCTTCTCTCTCTCTCGCTCCTCTTTACCCTCGCCCCTCCCCCTCCTTTCTCTCTCTCTCTCTCTCTCTCTCTCTCCTCTTTACCCTGTTGGGGTGTGTTATGTAATAGAATACAGAGAGTTTCGAATGGGTTGAAAGTTTGGGCGCATTTTCAAAGGGCTTAAATTTCATAACATGGGAGTTTTTGTGAGGGGTGTTTTAAAAATTCACCACAAATGAGTGCCTCGACAATGAGCTCTCATAATGTGGATCAAATGATATCCGTTTCTTTAATTTGGTGGGTATCTGAAAAAGGTATTAAGAGATTCCTTTTCAACTTTCATAGGATTTGGAAATCACCGGAGGGGTGTTCAAAAAAGTTCATTGTAAAGCAACAATACAATCGAGTTGTCCTGCCGCTACGATAAACCTGTTCAATCTTAAAATCCACCTTATGATCGCTTCATATTAAGCTGAGGAATGATAGATAATTGTTTGGAGAATATGTGGTTAAAATGTCGGTGAATTGATTAAAAAAATAAAAGAAAAAAGAAAAATTTCGATTTGGAGGGACAATCATCTGATGTTCTACTGTAGACGGCTGAATTGGAGCTCGCCACGAGCTAAAATAAGTTGACAACCTCAAATCAAAATAAAGTATTTTGTGAGGTAGGGAAAAGCCTTGGTAACCGATTAATTAAAATTTCATGTAATTTGGGTATCATTAAGCTGGATAAATAAGTCCAATATGAATATGTGTAATAAGTCCAATATGAATATGTGTATGTGCTCATCCTCATCTATTACACTCTGCAGCAAACTGATGAAATAGAGTTTGTAACGAGTGAAAACGGTTAACGACATCCAATCAAGATAGGATTTTTTTTATTTAGATATGGTGCAGGTGGCATACGGATGCATCCATAGCCATAGAGGTAAGGTTCACTTTCAAATTTTATCATGGTATATAATTTTGATATAAAATGTTCTTAGGATTATCTCAAAATCTATTTTTATATCTAATTATAAATTTTAAATTTAAAAAATGGTTAAAATCAAGTATATCCACAAACATATGAAAATAGTGAAAATAGACGGTGTAGATAATATGTTGTAAAATGCACTATTTTTGAGACTTAAAATCTTTTTATTTTTCATGGTCATACATCTTGATGTCGAGATGATCAATCAAAGGTTTTCTCAACATTAAAACTACATTTTTTGATGGATTTTTGAGGTGCGTAGTTCAACATGATAAGGTTGCATCCTTATATAAACTTTTTCTTTTAGATATTGGAATACCTTGGGGACCTACTGTTTTGGTGATCGGCCAGTATTAAAAAAAAAAAAAAAGTAAAAAAGAAAGTATGTAAAATCCCAAAAATAAAGTATGTAAAATCCCAAAAATAAAGAATTTGGTTTGGAGTACATTTTTTTAATATTCTTTACATTATAGTAAAGACTAAAATTTGTTTTGATCATTAATATGCATATTTATATTTTCCTATTTTTTTAGAAAATTTTATAATACCTTTAGACACAAATTGATTCTCTTAAATATTTTTTATTTATTTATTAATTTTCTACTTCATTTGAATGTATTTTGTTTTAATCATTCTTTATATATTTTTTATATTTTAGTAGATGTTTTTTATATTTTTATTTTTTTATTTGTTTCAACAATTTTTTGAGCGCCCGAAACTTGTGCAATTAGAATAGTTGAATCGGCCAGTTTACCAGGTAGACTGGTTAAACCTCTACGGACCCATGTCCGGCTAACCATTTTAGTTCGATTTTGTGAACAATGGTTCCTCCTCACAAATTCTGTCATACAGTTATGTGGCTCATCTCATAGATTATTTCTGCTTTGGGGGTGTGGTTCTTATGTGCAAAGTCAGTTCTGTAGTTAGAGATATTATTTAATAGAAATGCGCACGTATACTATACTCGTTCAGGAGCATAGTTTACTCCTACTCCCTCAGTCAGAAAGAAGACCTACTTGGATCTTCATTTTTAATATACATCGTGCATTGTTTTTTGTTTATAAAATTTATACCAAGTCGAATCTCTTTGCGACCAACCAGAAAGCTATTTCGGAATTTTATCTGGTTTATCCCAAGTCACCTGCTTATTTCCCTCTTACTAAAACAAGAGCTCCCTAAAGTTTCTAGCTTCTATTAAAGTGGGGTTATCTCCTACTCCTCCCATATTCCATGTTTTAAACAATCTTAAAATTATAACATGGTTGTGGAATTATCCTGAAAATATTTTTAAAGATCAATAAAACTGAGAAATCACGTTAGTTCATTGTATTTTTTTTTTTTTTTAATAATAATAAAAAAATTGTGTGGTCATAGTCCTCTCATAAATTGAATGGGTATTTTTAAAAAAAAAAAATGAAGAGGGAAAACGTTGTTGGGCATGATGGTGTTTTCAAAAAAGGTTGAGGTTTACATAAGGTTGCAACCTTAAATAATCAAAGCCATGTGAGACCTGATCATGACTCCACTTCACTGGTGAAGTCATCAGATGGGAATTCGGTCTCACTGGCTTCCCCAACCAAACAAGGAAAGTGGCTGGACAAGATATTATAATTTACATCGAAGTATAAAGATGAGGAGGATGAAGCTCTAGAGTACGTGGAAGAGAAGGCAAAATTGAGGAGTGAAAGGCAAAATAGTTGCTCAAAAACTGGAGAAGCGAGTTGAGGTCAATGTGAGGAGCTCAAGGTCACCACGGCTTTGGAAAATACAATTTATGGTTATATGTTGAAATTCCAAAAAAAAACCCATCAATTTTGCCCATTTAATAATATATATAAACCTTGTGTATAAACAGACAAGTCAACTTGGATGATAGTATTTTCCTCAAAATAGTTTTTTATCCATTGTTTCGAAGTCAAATGTCAAGATCACATATCATTGTAAGTAGATTGGTTACAAGTTGACCTAGATATCATTAGCCCAATGATACGCTTTGTGAAGTATCTCTCTATGTGATTTTCATTAAGTGATCCAATGGTAGTACCAACTGTGCAGGATGAGAACATACTCTAGGAAATGTGTTCGGTTTGGCGGGCGCAACAATGTGATGTCAAGAGCTTCAGTCTCACCCGATCCCAAGTTAACATTCAGGAAGAAAACTTGCTAAGACAAAATTTACTATGCAGGAGACATAATGCTTGTTATTTGCTCAAGCAGGACGACGATCATGAATGGCCTAGAGGCCTATTTATCCGGGGAAGTTTCGATATGGATTTTCGTGCCAAAAACTATTAGAGCAATGCTTAAACAGAGGATGAGAGTTTCTCAAGCATGAAAAATATCAAGATTGTTGTTCTGTGGTTTGGGCCCCCAGGGCTATCATATATATCTGAGAATCGGTTACAATTGCATTTCACGTCACAATGTGCACTTATGGATAAGTGATGTTGGTCAAATCCATGAAAACACAACTTCACTTATGCTTATTTGGTAGGCATGTAAAATTCGTGTAGCCGGCATCAATTAATTGATAAAAGGCTATGATGCTGGTGATGTAAAATTTATTAAGTAGAAGAGTACATCAGAATTCAAGCTCCAAACTAGAGGAAACAAAGGGTCAATCTGCCTATCAAAATCTTTATCTGCACTGGTAGAATCCTTCCATCTAACTGATGAAAACAAAGTTTAGCAGTCCACCATAGAGTAATTCCATATTATATATTGTAGATGTACTTTTTGAAGAGAAGCATGCCTTCCTCATGCAAGCAGATGACGAGGGAGAGACTACCATCTCCCTTAGGACTAGGCAACAGATAGGACTGCCCCTCATGTTTTATGACCCCAGGCCCTATAAACAGAGGCCTCCCCCCATCCAAAATGTGCCTCACAAATGGGTAGCTTTGCCCAACTAACGACCCCAATGTTAGGGTACTCAAATGTGTGGGCCCCTGCATCAGTGCCTCGGGGTTAGGATGCAATTCAACGTAGTCCAACACTTACCGCAAGTACTCGTTGTCCATCGTCACGATAGCGTCGTCTATCTTTTCTGCTGCATAATGCAAAGGATTGGACATGAGGTTGCCAGACACTGCGAATTCGGCAGTGGCTAAAATAGCATTTGCCAAAGTATCCAAAGGCAAGAACAGGTTGGAGGCAGGTGCGACAGTTAGTGGACACATGCATTCTTGTTAGCTGGTCGTGTTGGATGTTTCTGGCACGAGAGGCACAGCGCCAGATGTGGCCTGTGAACACCTCATAGGTGCTGTAAGATGTACTCTTGCCATTTATTTGGGCCTTTCTCTTCAGGAGGTTGACCCAGGTGCCAGTGAAGTTGAAGATAGCCAAGACTCGGAGGCTTGGTACTTTGGAGACTGGGCTTTTCATGGTTGGAGCCGGTTCGAACTCGACATGGTGAAAGGTTGGGGTTGGGGGATCCCTGGCACGAAGGAGGGCACGGTCAAAAAATGGGGGATGGATGAGACCGCATCCTCAGGCTATTTCAGACCATGCATTGGTAAAATGGATGGCTGATGTTCCATCTAGCACAAGGTGGTGAATGCCTAGCGACACCCCACCACAATAAAAGGAGGTAACCTTCAGTTTATCATTACAAGGCAAGTTATTGAGCCTTGTTATGGAACCTGTGACATGATTTCAAATGCACTTGCTAATTGACTCAACTAAGTGACTTCATTTAATCGACTTATGATTAATCACTAACAATGCTATGGAGTTGCAAAAAGATAATGGATTTGAAGATCCAAAATTTTAAATCAAATATGGACCAACAATTTCAATGGGTAATAAATAAAGGAGATCTAGAG